TAACCACTAGGCCACAGCCGCCTTTTCTTTCCTCGTCGAAAAGCGGACTTTAAAGGGCCTCGGCCGGTTTAATCACGAAGGGTGCGTACCCTTGACGTCGCTAGTAAGAAAAACGGCGTCTGGCACACGGCCCTGGGGTAGAGGGAGTCGGAAACCGCCATCGCCCGGTTTAATTACCCAAGTTTAAAGTTTAATTCCTCCTTGCTTCGATTTCAAGATCACTTTTGCTTAAAAATAAAGGAAATTATTGTTTTATTTAAATTTAATTCAGATTTAATTTGTTTTATTTAATTAAATTTAGATTTTCTTTAAATTTCAGTTTTCTTCAGACTCTTTACGGTTACTGTAGCTATAGATTTAATTTAAAACCTCTTTTTTAAAGCTCATTTTTATTCGTAATAAACGTAGTCTGCAATCCTTCTAACTTCCTTCAAATCTATCTGATTAATATCAGCTAGAGCTTAAAGTCAGAGAATTTCAAGAGCTTTTCAATGAACTAAAGCACTCTTAAATATATTGATTCTAAAGGAAATTACAGTGGTTTAAAGGGGAAGCAGACCGTACTCACTCGTAAGCGGGCTACAAATCACTGTAATTCCCTTTAAAATCAATATTTTTAAACATGCTTTAGCTCATTTGAAAGCTCTCGAAATTCCTCTATTTTTTAAGCTATGGACTCAATCACGATCTGATAGATTTGAAGAAAGTTAGAAGCGTTTATGGTCCACATTTGTAGTTTTTAGTGCTTATTTCTACTAGATTTTAGCCAAGAATTCAGCATTTAGGCTTAGGGCTTAGGCTTGTGCTTAGGCTCCGGTTTATAGTTTTTGAAGCGCTTAAACAAAGTTACAGTGGGTTATAGCCTGACTACGCGTGAGTACGGTCTGTTTTCCTTTAAACCACTCTAATTCCCTTTAAATCAGACATTTTAAGCTGCTTTAGTTCATTCAAAAGCTCTCGAAATTCTCTATTTTTAAGCTTCTAGCTCATATTAATGCGACAGATTTGAAGGAAGTTAGAAGCGTTTAAAGTTCACGTTTTAGGTTGTAGTGTGACCGGCTTTGTAACTTTGTTTAAAATCAATATTTTTAAACGTGCTTTAGCTCATTCGAAAGCTCTTGAAATTCTCTATTTTTTGAGCTATAGATCAACATGATACAATAGATTTGAAGAAAGTTAGAAGCATTTTTAGTTTACCACTTTGCCAATGTCATTGTTTATTTCTTTTGTGATTCTCTAGATCTAGGGCTTGAGTTTTTTTTTGTTGAGTAAGCACTCAGAAAGATATCGTATTCTTGTTTATTTTTATTGAATCTTTCCACTTTTAGTGTGTTTCTGTGGGGATTTTTGAAGGGGAAAACAGAAACATTTCCGGAATGAAATGTTCGACTGCAAAATGGGGAAAAGAATCTGTAAGACAGGAGGAAAAGGGGGATCCGTTTCTCTTAGCAAAAAGGAATATCTATCTGTTCGATCAGCTCAGTCAGCCCATCTTCTTCCCCCTCCTTCCCTCTGCCTCTTCTTCCTCTTCTTCCCTCTTCTCTTCTACCTCTTCCTCTCCTACCTCTTCCTCTTCTTCTTCTTCCTCTTCTTCCCTCTTCCTCTTCTCTTCTTCCCCCTTCCTCTCCTTCCTCTTCCCTCTTCCCCCTCTCGATCACTCCCTCATCCCCTACCTCCTTTTTGATTTATTGGATTGACTTATTTGGGGATTTAGTGTCGATTACTAATTACTTTTTATATTAAAACCACAAATTTTAGCTTATTTTACTCTTTTTGATCGTAGTTTAACTCTTTTTTTTACAACATTTTTCTTTTAACATCTTACTGTTAATTTTGTTAACTTATTCGGGCTTTTTTAACTCGGGAACTAGCCTATCTGATGCAGTTTTTCAAGCTGATTCCGAATCTGCAATCAATTTTTGCTAAACGCTTCTCTGTCGCGAGATTTATGGCATACAAGTTTGGGGTCTCTTTATGAGGACGACGCACTGTCTTCAGTCAACGACCTCGATGGTATAGTGGTTAGTGCGCGCGTCTGCTGGGCGTATAGTCTTTTGGACCCTTTTTGAACCCTTTTGGACCTCTTTTGGTCTCTTTTAGAACTCTTTTGGACCACTTTTGGACCCCTTTGGACCCTTTTGGACCCCTTTTGGACCCTTTTGGACCGTTTGGACCGCTCTTGGACCACTTTTGGACTCTTTTGGACCGTTTGGACCCCTTTTGGACCCTTTTGGACCGTTTGGACCCCTTTTGGACCTTTTGGACCGTTTGGACCCCTTTTGGACCCTTTTGGACTCTTTTGGACCCCTTTTGGACCCTTTTGGACCGTTTGGACCGCTCTTGGACCACTTTTGGACTCTTTTGGACTCTTTTGGACCCCTTTTGGACCCTTTTGGACCGTTTGGACCGCTCTTGGACCACTTTTGAACCGTTTGGACCCCTTTTGGACCCTTTTGGACCCTTTTGGACTCTTTTGGACCCCTTTTGGACCCTTCTGGACCCCTTTTGGACCCTTCTGGACCCCTTTTGGACCCTTTTGAACCGTTTGGACCCCTTTTGGACCCTTTTGGACCCTTTTGGACCCCTTTTGGACCCTTTTGAACCGTTTGGACCCCTTTTGGACCCTTTTGGACCCTTTTGGACCCCTTTTGGACCCTTTTGAACCGTTTGGACCCCTTTTGGACCCTTTTGGACCCTTTTGGACCCCTTTTGGACCCTTTTGAACCGTTTGGACCCCTTTTGGACCCGACACACCAATCTGGCCAATCTGGCTTAGCCAATTTGGCCAATCTCGCCTAGCCAATGTGGCCAATCTGGCCCATCTGGCCTAGCCAATCTGACCAATCTGGCCTAGCCAATGTGGCCAATCTGACCTGGCCAATTTGGCTTAGCCAAGCTCACCAATCTGGCGTAGCCAATCTCTTCAATCTGCCTTAGCTCAATCATTATTTCCCTAGAACCATATCCAAATTACTCTATCACTTAAATCCAGATCGAGTTTCGTGTTTTCATATTTCCTCACCTCATTCCCCGTCCATACCAATCTTTTTCCCTTGCCTTGATGTGTTTTCTTTGAAGAAGGGCCCAAGAAAGACGAATATTTGATGTAATCTGCATAAAGATGAGTAGCAAAAAGGCGTGTTATCCAATATTTCTGACTGATTCCTTTGCAAGATTATCCCTTTTTTTTACATAATCTGATCTCAGGCTTGATTTTTGAGTCTTCTATCATTCTTTGCATTTTCACCATCCATTCACAGGTCGACTTGTGCTTTGTGCTTTGATAAACAACTACTTTCTGGCACACTATGTTCTATAGAGCCTTTTTTTCGATAAAAACCTTCTAGTTCTTTATTTACATTCTTTTCAACGTCCAATTAGTGAGCCATTTGAACGGAGAACTTGAATGAAATGAAATGAGATGAAAAAAACGATCATCATTTATTTAAAATTAGCTCTCTTTCATCAGTTAAATGTTTGAATTTAATAGAATGTATTTTTAAGAGAATGTACTTTTAAAGACAATTTACTTTTTCTACTAAACGTGAAAGGCGTAGGTTTAGGCTTAGGCTTTGGGCGAAAGCTTAGGCTTAGGCTTTAGGCTTTAGGCTCAGGCTTAGGCTTTAGGCTTTAGGCTTAGGCTTTAGGCTCAGGCTTAGGCTTTAAGCTTAGGCTTAGGCTTTAGGCTTTAGGCTAAGGCTTGGGCTTAGGCTAAGGCTTAGGCTTAGGCTCAAAGCTCAGGCTTAGGCTTTAGGCTTTAGGCTAAGGCTTAGGCCTAGGCTTAGGCTTATGCTTTAGGCTTTAGGCTAAGGCTTAAGGCGTGAGGCTTAGGCTTTAGGCTTAGGGGCTTTGGGCTTTGCCAGGCTAAGGCTTCAGGCTTAGGCTTAGGCTTGGAGGCTTAGGCTTAGGCTTTGGAGGGGCCTAGGCGTAGGCTTAGGCTTTGGGGCTTTAGGCTAAGGCTTAGGCCTAGGCTTAGGCTTAGGCTTAGGCTTAGGCTTAGGCTTTTGGGCGAAAGCCTGAGGCTCTAGAGTTAGGCTTAGGCTTGGACTTAGTGCGAAAGCAAGCGGCTAGCGCCTCGCACTAAGTCTATTTGGGTTGAGCTAAACCCTCATTTTCTGGATCTCAGCCTATTTTCAGAGCTAAGGGACAAGCGCTTGGCGATGCTCATGCGCCGCCCATAGGAGCATTCTAGCGAATTTTCAGCTCTCTGTCATGTCTTGAAGTTGAGATATAGAAAGTCGGTTTTGGGTTAGGCGTAGGCTTAGGCTTAGGCTTAGGCGTAGGCTTAGGCTTAGGCTTAGGCTTAGGCTTAGGCTTAGGCTTAGGCTCTAGGCTTAGGCTCAGGCTTGGACTTAGGCCTTAGAAACCTACAGTAAGCCTAAGCCTAAGCGTAGGCTTAGGCTTAGATTTAGTTACTTTTGTACCTTTCTATCTCATGGAATTCTTCCTTTTTCCTCCAGATGCCTTAGAGAAACCTTAGTGTATTAGAAAGGGTGTGTTTTGAGTCGAAAAAGCTCAAACATTGTACTACAAAGGTCTAAAAATTGTTCTTAATCAAACTTTGAAGAGAAATTTCTGCTCTTTTTGTAGAATTGTTGTAAACTTTTGTAGAGAATCTAGCAAAAAGACTTTCTGAATGAATTCTGGATTCTAAAAACATTCTAAATGAATTCTGGCTTCTAAAAACATTCTAAATGAGTTCTAAATTCTAAAAAATCTCAATGAAACGAAATCGATTAATTAGAGACATTCAAAAAGGAAAAGAGAAGAAAAGAAAGGAAAAATCTGTGAGAAAAAAGAGATTATTCAGATTAAACGGACTCTATTTGAGCTCAAATCCCACCAGAATCGATTCATTTTATTTTTTTCTATTAAATATTTGATTATTTCAAGGAAATGCTTCTCTTTTTTGATGTTTTAACGAAATTGATTCGATTTTATTTCTGAATTTTTTCAGAAATTCGTCAAAAGCTTGCTGATGAGCGGGTGACGGGAATGAAATGCGCACAACGTTTACCGCACGACGCCCACCAAAAAAGGGTTTGTGGAAGGGAAAAAGTGGAGATTTGAGGAAGTTCTCGTAGCCAACTAACACTGGAATTGGTTACTGGAATTACCTAAAGTTGTTTAAAACATAAGCCATAGCTAATTGCCATCGCTAATTGCCATCGCCATAGCTAAACATAAGCACAGCTTTTCTGGACCTGAGCTAGGCCAGAGCTAGGCCCAGCTAGGCCTGCAACTAGGCTTTCACTCAGGTCTAGCTCACAAAAGTTTCCTGAAGGGTTGAACCAAAGCCAAGTCTGGACTTAGAGACCTAGCTTCTGACCTAGCTTCTGACCTAGCTTCTGACCTAGCTTCTAACCTAGCTTCTGATCTAGCTTCCGATCTAGCTTCTGATCTAGCTTCTGACCTAGTTTCTGACCTAGCTTCTGATCTAGATTCTGATCTAGCTTCTGACCTAGCTTCTGATCTAGTTTCTGATCTAGCTTCTGACCTAGCTTCTGATCTAGCTTCTGACCTAGCTTCTGATCTAGCTTCTGATCTAGCTTCTGATCTAGCTTCTGATCTAGCTTGGCCTTTAGACCTAGCTTGACCTTCTGACCTAACTTGGCCTAGACTTATTTCAAACCTCACGGAACAAGTCTGTGACCTAGATCTCCTTGCTTGGAGACCAAAAGTCAGGCCTAAACCTAGGTTGATAAGACTGACTCACTTCAAGTCTTCAGCTCCGGGTTTGGCTTAGGCTGGTTTAGGCTGGCTTGGGCTAGCCTGGGCCGGCTTAGGCCCGCTTAGGCTTGCTTGGGCCCGCTTAGGCTGGTTTAGGCTGCTTTAGGCTGGTTCAGGCTGGCTTAGGCTGGCTTAGGCTTGCTTGGGCTAGCCTGGGCCGGCTTAGGCTGGTTTGGGCTAGCTTAGGGTGGCTTAGGCCAGCTTAGACTTGCTTGGGCTGGCTTAAACTAGCTTAGACTGTTTCAGGCTAGCTTAGGCTTGGCTTAGACTAGCTTAGGTTTAAGCTTGGGTTATATGCGGGACCTATTCCGCCAGCCAAGCCTAAGGCTAAGGCCCTGGCGGGCAATATCATCTACATTAGCCACAAGCTACTATAGCTTTCGGCTGCCTTAGAAAGCATTTCTATAACAGATTACAATAAGGTGAAGTTCTTTTCAGCGTTGCTGCTCTCGGCTTGGTTGGCTTTGGCTTGGTGCACTCTGTTCACTAGAGTTTGTGCTGCCGAGTACGACGAGTATGAGACAACGATCGAGTATCGGGAGGTGAAGCTTTTTGCTTCGTTTGCTAAATCGTTTGCTAAAACGACTATCTGAAAGCTATGAAAATGTTAAAATTGGTTTAAAATTGGTGTTCAGCGAATTCGAAGGCACTACACATCACCACGATACACGAGAGAAATCGAAGAGGCGCCTACTGAAGTTATCGACTTTCATCAAAGGTTTTGTAATAGGGAAAAGATTACGGTATTTGATTTGATGATCTTTAGGGGATTTGATTGGGTTTGAATTGGGTTTAAACTGGGTTTAAATTGGGTTTAAATTGGGGTTTAAATTGGGTGATTTGATTGGGTTTGAATTGGGTTTAAATTGGGTGATTTGATTGGGTTTGAATTGGGTTTAAATTGGGTTTAAATTGGGTTTAAATTGGGGTTTAAATTGGGTTATTTGATTGGCTTTAAATTGGGTTTAAATTGGGTTTAAATTGGGTTGTTTGATTGGCTTTAAATTGGGTTGTTTGATTGGGTTTAAATTGGGTTTAAATTGGGGTTTAAATTGGGTTATTTGATTGGCTTTAAATTGGGTTTAAATTGGGTTTAAATTGGCTTTAAATTGGGTTGTTTGATTGGGTTTAGATTGGATTTAAATTGAGTTTAAATTGGGTTATTTGATTGGGTTTAAATTGGGTTATTTGATTGGGTTTGAATTGGGTTTAAATTGGGTTTAAATTGGGTTTAAATTGGGTTTAAATTGGGGTTTAAATTGGCTTATTTGATTGGGTTTGAATTGGGTTTAGATTGGGTTTAAATTGGGTTTAAATTGGGTTTGAATTGGGTTTAGATTGGGTTTAAATTGGGTTTAAATTGGGTTTGAATTGGGTTTAGATTGGGTTTAAATTGGGTTTAAATTGGGTTTGAATTGGGTTTAGATTGGGTTTAAATTGGGTTTAAATTGGGTTTGAATTGGGTTTAGATTGGGTTTAAATTGGGTTTAAATTGGGTTTAAATTGGGTTTAAATTGGGTTGTTTGATTGGGTTTAAATTGGGTTTAAATTGGTTTCAAATTGGGTTATTTGATTGGGTTTAAATTGGGTTTAGATTGGGTTTAAATTGAGTTTAAATTAGGTTGTTTGATTGGGTTTAAATTGGGTTTAAATTGGCTTTAAATTGGGTTATTTGATTGGCTTTAAATTGGGCTTAAATTGGGTCTAAATTGGCTTTAAATTGGATTATTTGATTGGCTTTCAGATTACGAACACCAAAAAGCGTGCTTGATCCGGAGAGACCAATAGGTGAGTGCTGAATGATAGGTTGAGCTTGAGCTTGAGCTTGAGCTTTGGCCTAAGCCTGAGCTTAAGCTTGAGCCTGAGCCTGAGCCTGAGCTAACATAGGAGGACAACAATGAGCAGGAGAACAAGATAAGCTAGCTGAGATAAGCTAGCTGAGATGAGCTAGCTGAGATGAGCTATAAACTATTCGTAGAAACGGATAATGATTTCAAATAGGTTTAAAATCAAATAGATCTAAAATCAAATAAGATTTCGGTTTTAAAACATTGATATTTCCATCTTCTGATGTTTTGACTTTGTTTTGATGTACAGGAAAGGAAAGAAATCGAACTGGAACAAAGAAAAGCAGCTCTCATTTTGTTTACAAGCCTTCTATCCACTAAACTATCGAATCACCTTGAAGAAAAGCGGTGAAAAAGCCCGAAAAACCCATTAGAAAACCCTCTAAATCCTCTAAATCCTCGAATTTCCTCCTAGGACTTTAAGCGCTTATAACTTTTGATATAGAGCTCGTTAGCAAAAACCGAAAGCAGATTCGGATTCAGCGTTTAATTCTGTATCGAATCGTTTATAGCTTATCTACTTTTGTCTTTTGATTTGTAAGAGAAAATCGAATTTCTAGATGTACCACCAAAATTGGTGACTGAGGATCATCCAATCTACATGGTGATTCCATTGCCGAGCACTGATGATATATCTGCTGGGAGAAATCCTTTCCGACTCAGCATTCCACTCGTTGAGCCAAGTAAGATGAGATAAATGAGATAAACGATAGATAAACGATAGATAAATGAGATAAGCTATAGATAAGCTATAGATGAGCTATAGATAAGCTATAGATAAACTACAATACTACAATACTACAATACTACAATAAATTTATTCAAAACCAATAATCTGATACAAACAAAGGATATATAATAAGAAATAAAGGTTTAAAAATACAATTTTATAACACTGCGGCTGTCGTTCCTATCCCTTTAACCCTTATTACGCAAAGGTTGTGGGAAAAAGAAACATTTTGATCTTGTCTGTCACATCGAACTTTCGATCTTCCGCAGACAAGACTCCTAACCGAGACAAGACTCCTAACCAAGACAAGACTCCTAACCGAGACAAGACTCCTAACCGAGACAAGACTCCTAACGGAGACAAGACTCCTAACCGAGACAAGACTCCTAACCAAGACAAGACTCCTAACCAAGACAAGACTCCTAACCAAGACAAGACTCCTAACCAAGACAAGACTCCTAACCGAGACAAGACTCCTAACCGAGACAAGACTCCTAACCGGTCGGCTATCTGGCTATAAAGTATTTGGAATGCTTCAGGAATTTGTGTGTCATCCTTGCGTATCATCCTTGCGTATCATCCTTGCGCAGAGACTATGCTAATCTTTGGCTTTTAGTATGCGTTCATAGGAATGAACATAGGAATAATACAAGCTATAATATAAACTACCGTATTTTCTCTAATAGTAGTGCACCCAAGCGAGCCGAGTTAGTAACTATTTTACGGTTTCCAAGCTTTTGCAGAAGCTCAAGAGTCAAGCTTGCAGAAGCTCAAGAGTCAAGCTTGCAGAAGCTCAAGAGTCTAATCCCTGACTAGATCTCATTGTCAGCTACATTTTCCGACCTCACATCGATAGGTTTTGATAAGCGGTTCTCGAGATTTTGATCAATTTCGAGCAAACGAGGAGTCTAAAGTTGGTCGAGGGGTCAAGGACGAGGGTCAACTTTAGACGCCTCGTTCTCAGCGTAATTTTGAGATATTTTTATGTTTAATATACGAAAAGATAGCCCTGAATGTCTTCTATACAAAGATATAAAAAGATAAGAATAATATTAGCTCTAGGGAGAGTTATAGACGATCAAAGCTGGGGTGGTTAACGTAGAAGCTATAAGACAAGCTAGAAGGCAAGCTATAGGATAAGCTAGAAGACAAGCTAGAAGGCAAGCTAGAAGACAAGCTATAGGATAAGCTAGAAGGCAAGCTAGAAGACAAGCTAGAAGGCAAGCTAGAAGACAAGCTATAGGATAAGCTAGAAGACAAACTTTTCTGTTAAACTCTAGTCTTAATCTATCGTCTAGTAGATTATCTTAAAAGTACAAGAACTTTGCACAAAAGTACAAGAAGTTCTTAAACTTTGGTTCAATCTTTTCTCAATCTCAATCTCAATCTCAATCTTTTCTATTTCAGTAGTCGATCTTGCTGTTGAGTCTGTCTATAAACAGCAGCTTGTCCAACGGAACTCTATTCGAGTCATTTACAAAGTAAGTTGAGAATTAAGAAGATAAAATAGATAATGTCAATGTCAGCTTCAATCTTCTTTTTAGGATTCTCAAATGTCGGATGCTCATGGACCGAATGTGGCTATCGATATGCTCGTGCAGAACAAATTGGACGTGATCATCGGCTACGCTTATGTGTTAGTTGAATAGAGCTTTAGCTAAGCTTTGAAGCTAATAGCCAGCTAATATCCAGCTAGTAGCCAGCTAGTAGCCAGCTAATAGCCTATCCAAGCTAATATCCAGCTAATAGCCTAGCCAAGCTAATAGCCAGCTAATAGCCAAGCCTCGTTATTAGCTTCGTTTTCTAGATATGCTTTGGCACCAGTTGCTCGAATGGCACCATTCTGGCGGGACATTGATTCGAATGGGATCCCGGTGATCACCCCAATCGGACTCACTGGGAATCTTGATGACAAAAAGGAGTACTCGATGATGACAAGGATCAATTCACCGTATAAAGTACTGTAAAACGACGGGTTTCTTTTCTAAAACATTTCTAGAACTAAAACCATTTCAGAACTTTCGTCAAAGCGTCGAGAAGCTTTGGGATGCGTACAATTGGACGACTACCGTTTTCATCTATCACGATCGAAGATTTGGCTCGGATCTCTCGCAACCGGTTGGTAAAAGAAAAGGTTATTGTAGGTTAGGCTTATTAGGTTTAGGTTTAGGCTTAGGCTTAGGCTTAGGCTTAGGGCTAGGCTTAGGCTTAGGCTTAGGCTCAGGCTTGTTGGACTCAGGCTCAGGCTCAGGCTCAGGCTCAGGCTTAGGCCTAGGCTTAGGCTTAGGCTCAGGCTTAGGCTTAAGCTCATGCTTAGGCTTAGGCTTAGGCTTAGCCTTAGGCCTTAGAGACCTACAGTAAGCCTAAGCCTACAGTAAGCCTAAGCCTACAGTAAGCCTAAGCCTACAGTAAGCCTAAGCCTGAGCGTAGGCACAAGCCTGAGCCTACTTTTAGTTGGCATATCAATCAATGCAGGAGTACTGTAGTTCTTCTAAGGTCAGGAGGACTGTAATTTTTGTGCTGTAGCACAGTAGCCTTGCCCTACAGTTTCCACAGATTACTTTACTTTTTAGAGTGCGCTGAACCTGGGCCTTGGACTTGGTCTAAGGATTGCTGTCCTTGGTCTAAGGATTGCTGTCCCTGGTCTAAGGATTGCTGTCCCTGGTCTAAGGATTGCTGTCCCTGGTCTAAGGATTGCTGTCCCTGGTCTAAGGATTGCTGTCCTTGGTCTAAGGATTGCTGTTCCAAGGCCTCGGATTATCCACTGTACAGAGCCTAAGCCCAACCCTAAGCCTAACCCTAAGCCCAAGCCTAAGCCTAAGCCTACTGTAGTACAGTGCCTATGTTCTTGTATGACTACAGGGTACTGTACTTTAGAAAATACTAGATACTGTAGCCCTTTTTCCTTCCAGTAACCTTCCAGTAACCTTCCAGTAACCTGAAAGGGCTAAATTCACATTTCCAGTCGGGTGAATGCTACCTCTTGCTGACGACGGTGAAGATTTTCTTTAAAAAGCGGGTCGAAGCGCCGCTCGTTCACAACTATTTTGTCTTCAACGAGCACCGATCGACCAGGAAAGATTTCAAGTGAGTTTTTGAATAGTTTCACTAGACTTTTATAAACTTAACTAGTTTTTATATGTTATGATAGAATCCGATCAGATGAATTCTATCGTTGGAATCGAATTCTATCCATCGAATCCGATCGTGATAACAGAAATTGAGCATAAATTGTGTTTTGATGAAATTCTGAAACAGAAAGCGACCAGATTCGATCAGATTCAAGAAATTGATTCAATTTCAGCTAATTAACCAGTTAAATGTTAGAGTTAAATGCTAATTAAGTCAATAGTTTAAGTTTAAGTCAAGTTTAGGTCAAGTTTAAGACAAGTTTAAGGCTAAATTAAGACCAGAAATGTAGAATTATCGAGATAGAAAAGCTTAAAAACAAAGAATTTTCTCTAAATCCGTGCATTTTCTTCTTAATCGCAAAGCTAAGCAAAGCTAGAGCTAAGCAAAGCTAGAGCTAGAGCTAAGCTAGAGCTAGAGCTAAGCTAAGCTAGAGCTAGAGCTAGAGCTAGAGCTAAGCTAGAGCTAGAGCTAAGCTAGAGCTAGAGCTAAGCTAAGCTAGAGCTAGAGCTAAGCTACAGAGTTAGAGCTAAAGCTAGGCTAGAGCTAGAGCTAAGCTAGAGCTAGAGCTAGAGCTAAGCTAGAGCTAGAGCTAAGCTAAGCTAGAGCTAGAGCTAAGCTAGAGCTAGAGCTAAGCTAAGCTAGAGCTAGAGCTAAGCTAAGCAAAGTTAGAGCTAAGCTAGAGCTAGAGCTAAGGCTAGAGCTGAGCTAGGCTAAGAGCTAGAGCTAAGCTAGAGCTAGAGCTAAGCAAAGCTAGAGCTAGAGCTAAGCTAGAGCTAGAGCTAAGCTAAGCTAGAGCTAGAGCTAAGCTAGAGCTAGAGCTAAGCTAAGCTAGAGCTAGAGCTAAGCTAAGCAAAGTTAGAGCTAAGCTAAGCTAGAGCTAGAGCTAAGCTAAGCTAGAGCTAGAGCTAAGCTAAGCTAGAGCTAGAGCTAAGCTAGAGCTAGAGCTAAGCTAAGCTAGAGCTAGAGCTAAGCTAGAGCTAGAGCTAAGCTAAGCTAGAGCTAGAGCTAAGCTAAGCTAGAGCTAGAGCTAAGCTAGAGCTAGAGCTAAGCTAAGCTAGAGCTAGAGCTAAGCTAAGCTAGAGCTAAGCTAAGCAAAGCTAGAGCTAAGCTAGAGCTAGAGCTAGAGCAAAGCAAAGCAAGCTAAGCTTTAAAATCCAATTCAAACACATCCACTTTATCAGAAAGAATGTTTTTTACAAGTCTAGTGAACAGTTTTTCGGAAAATTGAATCATTTTCATACATTCTCATTATATTTCTCTTTTCAGTGACTACCTCAAGCAGAGTTCAATGCTCAGCAATAGTGAGTTTTGCTTTAAAATATTGTTTTAAATATATTAAATCTTATTTTGAATAGTTCTTTGTTTAAATTTCATTCTTTTAACTCTTTTTCTTTCGTTTCTCCTATCAAAAATCCCAAGAAATCATAAATTTTTGGTTTTTTTTTATAAAAATCGGTTTCTTTTCTTTTTTCTGCCTCTCCTTTCCCTGTTTTCTTCAAGCAAAGCAAAGCTAGAGCTCTGCTTTTAAATTAAAAGTGATTAGAAAAGCTTTTCTTTCCTTTTCTTTTCTTTTTCTTGAACATTTTCATGAAAAAAGATGAGAAAATAGAGAAATTTCAGCTATAATTCTTTGTAAAAGATTCGAATTGATAAATAAAGCAAGTAAAGCCGCCAAGTAAAGCCAAGTAAAGCTAAGCAGTTCACAATGAGATTTTGTAGTCTTTTGTAGTCTTTTTTGATCGTTTTTTGATCGTTTTTTGATCTTTTATGATCTTTTATGACCTTTTGTGTCCTTTTCGCTTACACGATTCATTATAGAATCTAGCTTAGTTGATAGAGCTTGAAATGAGCTTTCCAAATATATAATTAGTTTTTTCTCAATTCCCTTCAAAGTCGAGATATTGAGCTTGAAAGTTGATGAAGAGAAAAAGTTTAAAAAAATAGGTTAAACCTATTTGAACGCTTCCAAACGGTCGGTGACTAGCTGCAGTAGTGGCTCAGTGGATAGGGTGGCGGTGTGGAGATCGGGACGGGTCTGCAGGGGCTCGGGTTCGAATCCGACTGGGGCTAAAATTGTTTTTTTCTTTCTTCCTCTTCTTTTTCTTTCTTTTATATCTTTCGAATTTCTTTGGGGACAAGAAGGGCGCAGCGCATTGGGCATAGCTCAGTGGTTAGAGCGTCTGGAGGCTTCTGATCAGTAAGGAGATGATCGAGGGTTCTGATCGGTAAGCGGATGATCGAGGTTCGATTCCTCTTGATTCCAGCAGATGATTGAGGTTCGATTCCTCTTGGTTCCAGTAGATGATCAAGGGTTCGATCCCGCTTGATTCCAGCAGATGATCGAGGTTCGATTCCTCTTGATTCCAGCAGATGATTGAGGTTCGATTCCTCTTGGTTCCAGCAGATGATCAAGGGTTCGATTCCGCTTGGTTCCAGTAGATGATCAAGGGCTCTATTCGCCATTTTTCCCCTTCCAGACGTTAAAACTCTTGCAAAACTTTATATAGACTATGCAAAGTCATAAATTTGATGAAGAATAAGGGGAAATTCTCTCTTTTTCCTCTTCTTCTGGGTTTCTTGATTGAATTTGCATGAATGTGCGTCTTTTTTTCGTCTTTTCGTCTTCCTTTTTCCTTTCTCTATGCATAATTATTGAGTAAAAAAGCATTAGAAAAGAGAAATTTGTATAAAAGAAAAGCTTTTCTATCACTGTGCCAAAAAGCTAGCGTTTATGAGGCATTAGAGAAGGTTTATGAAAGCAGAAAGTACATGTACAAAGTAGATGAGTACTTTTGAGGGATTAGAGAAGGTTTATGAAAGCATAAAGTACATGTACAAAGTAGATGAGTACTTTTGAGGGATTAGAGAAGGTTTATGAAAGCATAGAGTACATGTACAAGGCACAAAGTACATGTACAAAGTAGATGAGTACTCTTGGATGCTTTTGCTGGCTTTTGCTGGCTTTTGCTGACTAATCATTGATCAAAGGGATCCTTTCTAGCGCCAAGAACTTCTTTAAATACTCTAAACGATTAAAAGAATAGCTTTTTATTGATTTTTGATTGATTTTGATTGATTTTGATTGATTTTTGATTGATTTTAACGCCATCCCCATAATGACGGGCGTACAATCGCGTAGTCGAACTTTGAACGTCCCGTTCTCGGCGCTCGTTTATGCTACAGTGTTCGCTTTGGTGTCAAATGATAGCCATTGAAATCTAGTATTTTTTGATATCAAAAAGTGTCGTTGGGAAAAAGCTAGGGGCTGAGAAATAAAGGAAGATTTAGGGGCTGAGATTTACCAAAAAAGGAAGTTAAAGTGGCGTTCTTTCTGAGGCAAATTGGCGTTCTTTCTCTTCCAAATTCCCAGTTGATTATCAAAAGTGGTAATAGAGGTGATTATCAAAAAATAGCCCTGAATTTCAGCTATTAGAATAGTTACTTTAAAGCTCCCTAAAAGCTCCCTTAAAGCTCCTTTATAGTTCCTTTAAACCTCCTGTAAAGCTCCTTTAAAGCTCCCTTAAAGCTCCTTTAAAGCTCCCTTAAAGCTCCCTTAAAGCTTCTTTAAAGCTCCTTTATAGTTCCTTTAAACCTCCTGTAAAGCTCCTTTAAAGCTCCCTTAAAGCTCCCTTAAACCTCCTGTAAAGCTCCCTTAAAGCTCCCTTAAAGCTCCCTTAAACCTCCTGTAAAGCTCCCTTAAAGCTCCCTTAAAGCTCCCTTAAACCTCCTGTAAAGCTCCCTTAAAGCTCCCTTAAAGCTCCCTTAAACCTCCTGTAAACCTCCCTTAAAGCTCCCTTAAAGCTCCCTTAAAGCTCCCTTAAAGCTCCCTTAAAGCTCCCTTAAACCTCCTGTAAACCTCCCTTAAAGCTCCCTTAAAGCTCCCTTAAACCTCCCTTAAAGCTCCCTTAAACCTCCTGTAAACCTCCCTTAAAGCTCCCTTAAAGCTCCCTTAAAGCTCCCTTAAAGCTCCCTTAAACCTCCTGTAAACCTCCCTTAAAGCTCCCTTAAAGCTCCCTTAAACCTCCTGTAAACCTCCCTTAAAGCTCCCTTAAAGCTCCTTTAAACCTCCTTTAAAGCTCCCTTAAACCTCCTTTAAACCTCCCTTAAAGCTCCCTTAAAGCTCCCTTAAACCTCCCTTAAAGCTCCCTTAAAGCTCCCTTAAACCTCCTGTAAACCTCCCTTAAAGCTCCCTTAAACCTCCTGTAAACCTCCCTTAAAGCTCCCTTAAAGCTCCTTTAAACCTCCTTTAAAGCTCCCTTAAACCTCCTTTAAACCTCCCTTAAAGCTCCCTTAAAGCTTCTTTAAAGCTCCTTTATAGTTCCTTTAAACCTCCTGTAAAGCTCCTTTAAAGCTCCCTTAAAGCTCCCTTAAACCTCCTGTAAAGCTCCCTTAAAGCTCCCTTAAACCTCCTGTAAACCTCCCTTAAAGCTCCCTTAAACCTCCTGTAAACCTCCCTTAAAGCTCCCTTAAACCTCCTGTAAACCTCCCTTAAAGCTCCCTTAAACCTCCTGTAAACCTCCCTTAAAGCTCCCTTAAAGCTCCTTTAAACCTCCTTTAAAGCTCCCTTAAAGCTCCTTTAAAGCTCCCTTAAAGCTCCCTTAAAGCTTCTTTAAAGCTCCTTTATAGTTCCTTTAAACCTCCTGTAAAGCTCCTTTAAAGCTCCCTTAAAGCTCCCTTAAACCTCCTGTAAAGCTCCCTTAAAGCTCCCTTAAAGCTCCCTTAAACCTCCTGTAAAGCTCCCTTAAAGCTCCCTTAAAGCTCCCTTAAACCTCCTGTAAAGCTCCCTTAAAGCTCCCTTAAAGCTCCCTTAAACCTCCTGTAAACCTCCCTTAAAGCTCCCTTAAAGCTCCCTTAAAGCTCCCTTAAAGCTCCCTTAAAGCTCCCTTAAACCTCCTGTAAACCTCCCTTAAAGCTCCCTTAAAGCTCCCTTAAACCTCCCTTAAAGCTCCCTTAAACCTCCTGTAAACCTCCCTTAAAGCTCCCTTAAAGCTCCCTTAAAGCTCCCTTAAAGCTCCCTTAAACCTCCTGTAAACCTCCCTTAAAGCTCCCTTAAAGCTCCCTTAAACCTCCTGTAAACCTCCCTTAAAGCTCCCTTAAAGCTCCTTTAAACCTCCTTTAAAGCTCCCTTAAACCTCCTTTAAACCTCCCTTAAAGCTCCCTTAAAGCTCCCTTAAACCTCCCTTAAAGCTCCCTTAAAGCTCCCTTAAACCTCCTGTAAACCTCCCTTAAAGCTCCCTTAAACCTCCTGTAAACCTCCCTTAAAGCTCCCTTAAAGCTCCTTTAAACCTCCTTTAAAGCTCCCTTAAACCTCCTTTAAACCTCCCTTAAAGCTCCCTTAAAGCTCCCTTAAACCTCCCTTAAAGCTCCCTTAAAGCTCCCTTAAACCTCCTGTAAACCTCCCTTAAAGCTCCCTTAAAGCTCCTTTAAACCTCCTTTAAAGCTCCCTTAAACCTCCTTTAAACCTCCTTTAAACCTCCTTTATACTTCCTATTTAGTGTTTTTACAAGTTCTAAGCATAAAATAAAAGAAATTACATGAAAAACAACAATTTTAAGAAATCTTTCCTCTTTCTTTGACTATTTCTATGTCTTTTTTGACGATTTCTATGTCTTTTTTCACTAAAATCTTTATCCAATTGACCAAACTTCCTTTCAAAACATTGAATTTATAAAAAAGAACGTTTTGAAAAGAATTTTCAATGATTTTCTTGCAAAAATGGCTTATTTAGAGGGTTTTTTCTTTCTTTAACCCAAACTTCCGACATGAATTTTGTCATTTATGAAGCGTAAACTTCAAAAAAACTTCAAAAACTTCAAAAAAACTTCAAAAAAACTTCAAAAATCAATCTTTTTCTTAAAGAAAAGATGAATTTATGAGAAAATTATGAGAAAATGTGCTTATTTATTCATTTAAAAGCTTTTTTTAAAGCTTTCAAAGCTTTGTTTTAATAGACTTTTATCGAGAATCGTTCTCCATAGCCGTATTGAATCAAATAACCGTGCTCGACTCATCCCAGCTGAATCTGTCCTCGTAAAAACAGTAACCCATCCATTTTAGTGCACTAGTTACAACTATTTTCTTATTGTAATGCCAAGAAAATCGCATTCATTGCATCAGAAAGAGAATGTTTTGCAAAAAGGACTGAAATTATTGAAATTCGGATTTTGCAAACACGTAAATTCTAGAGAAAGTTTTAAGGAATTCAAGAATTTCTTTTCTTTCTTTCTTTCCCTTCTTTCTTTCTCTTCCTTCTCTCTCTCTTCTATCTCTCTTCCATCTTTCTCTCTTCCTTCTTTCCCTCTTCCTTCTCTCTCTCTTCCTTCTCTCTCTCTTCCTTCTTTCCCTCTTCCTTCTTTCTCTCTTCCTTCTTTCCCTCTTCCTTCTCTCTCTCTTCCTTCTTTCCCTTCTTTCTTTTCTTTCAAATAAACCCTTTTTCTAAAGAAATTGAATCATAATTTAGCTTAGATAATTAGAGTAAAAGGGTTTATTTGAAAGAAAAGAAGGAAGGGAAAGAAGGAAGGGAAAGAGAGAAGGAAGAGAGAAAGAAGGAAGAGAGAGAGAGAGAGAAGGAAGGGAAAGAAAGAAGGGAAAGAAGGAAGGGAAAGAGAGAAGGGAAAGAAGGAAGGGAAAGAGAGAAGGAAGAGAGAGAAAGATGGAAGAGAGAAAGAAGGGAAAGGAAGAAAGAAGAGAAAGGAAGAAAGAAGGGAAAGAAGGGAAAGAAGGAAGAGAGAGAAGGAAGAGAGAGATGGAAGAGAGAAATTTAATCATAACTTAGCTTAGATAATTAGAGAAATCAAGTTGAAAACGAAAAAATGAAAAGAGCAGCTGATAATTTGAACAACTCACACCCAATTTTGATAATATTCTGAAAAACTGAACTGAAAATATGTTTGAAATAAAAAATTCGATAAAATTAAAGAAAAATCAAAGTTTACTTGATTGAACTAGTAAAGAAATGCTCTTTAAAAAGGCTCTAGTAAAGAGATAAAGGCTCTAGTAAAGAAATAAAGGCTCTAGTAAAGAGATAAAGGCTCTAGTAAAGAAATAAAGGCTCTAGTAAAGAGATAAAAGGCTCTAGTAAAGAAATAAAGGCTCTAGTAAAGAGATAAAGGCTCTAGTAAAGAGATAAAGGCTCTAGTAAAGAGATAAAGGCTCTAGTAAAGAAATAAAGGCTCTAGTAAAGAGATAAAGGCTCTAGTAAAGAAATAAAGGCTCTAGTAAAGAGATAAAGGCTCTAGTAAAGAAATAAAGGCTCTAGTAAAGAGATAAAGGCTCTAGTAAAGAGATAAAGGCTCTAGTAAAGAGATAAAGGCTCTAGTAAAGAAATAAAGGCTCTAGTAAAGAGATAAAGGCTCTAGTAAAGAAATAAAGGCTCTAGTAAAGAGATAAAGGCTCTAGTAAAGAAATAAAGGCTCTAGTAAAGGAATGCTCTTTAAAAAGGCTATTATCTAATGGCTATTATCTAAATGCTATTATCTAAATGCTATTATCTAAAGGTTATTTAAAAAGGCTAAATCTGAAATCTTTTTAATTGAAATCTTTCGATTCAATCAATCATCGAAGACTTGAATTGACTCTCCCATCGAAAACTCTAATTTTGGTGTGAAAGCGGTGCTGAAATTGTGCTGAGATTGTGCTGAGATTGTAGCAAAAAGGAAAACCTTCAAAAAAACAGATTTAGTAAGAAGAAAGTAAAAAAGAAAGTACAACAATCTTGAAGCTGTAGAGTGTACTACAGTCTTGGAGCTGTAGAGTGTGCTACAATCTTGAAGCTGTAGAGTGTGCTACAATCTTGAAGCTGTAGAGTGTGCTACAATCTTGAAGCTGTAGAGTGTGCTACAATCTTGAAGCTGTAGAGTGTGCTACAATCTTGAAGCTGTAGAGTGTACTACAATCTTGGAGCTGTAGAGTGTGCTACAATCTTGGAGCTGTAGAGTGTACTACAATCTTGTAACTCTGCAGCACTCAGACTATAGGGGAAAGAAAGAAGATGAATTGAATTTGCTAAAAAAAACTGAAAAATGGAATTCACTGAGCTTTTGGCAGTGGCTGGGTTAAGCGCTTTATTAGAAGGTTTGTTGTAAGCTATTGAATCTGTAAAATCAGTCAATAAATGCCTCTTCTTGACTAGTTCCTTACATAATCTCAAGCACAGTTTAGGCTAGGCTGGCTTTGGCTTAAGCTGGGTTGGGTTGGCTTGGCTTAGGCTGGCTTGGGTTGGCTTGGGTTGGCTTGGCTTAGGCTGGCTTGGGTTGGCTTGGGTTGGCTTGGCTTAGGCTGGCTTGGGTTGGCTTGGGTTGGCTTGGCTTAGGCTGACTTGGGTTGGCTTGGCTTAGGCTGGCTTTGGTTGGCTTTGGCTTAAGCTGGCTTGGCTTAGGCTGGCTTTGGTTGGCTTTGGCTTAAGCTGGCTTTGGCTTAAGCTGGCTTGGGCTGGCTTGGCCTAGGCTGGCTTTGGCTTAACCTGGCTTAGGCTAGCTTTGGTCCAGTTGGCTTAGGCTAGGCTTAGACTCAAAAAGCTATTGACCGCCATTCTTTCACCAACGATATCTTTGTTTCCATCTTTGTTCTTTTAAGTAGACACCCCAGCAGCAATAGGATAGAGCTCATTAGTATTTGATAGCTTATTTGTATTCGGCTGGTAAGCGAAAGTTCGAAGTTCGAATCCCAGACTTGGTTTTTAGCTTTAAGCCAGAACTAGTTGTTTAACTGGTTAACTGGTTAACTGTTTAACTATTTAACTGTTTAACTATTTAACTATCTAACTGTTTAACTCTCACGGAAATAGCTCAAAGCCTCAAAAAAAAGCCTAAAACAAAGCTCCTATATTTTCTAGTCCATGTGACAATCCCAAATCGATGAGTCTACGGAATTGATTACTTATCGTTGTTTCACGAAGGGAAAACACTTGCTCAGATGAAAGAATGAGAGGCGGCAGAGAAAAAAGGGGAATCGGAGAAAAGAGGCGAGAGTTGGGAATGGGTTCTAGAGGGGAAAGGAAAAGGGGTGGACCTTGGGAGGGGAAAGGGCGAGGGTAGGCATGGAGAGCTTATTTCAGTCATTTCCCCTTGAAAATCCCCCAAAAACCGTTTTTGTTTCTATAAACATTTTCGATTCGATTTGATTGGTTGCCCGTTGTTTATTGGGATTTTGATCTAGATTTGGATAGATTCTGGAGGAGATTCTGGAGATTGTGGAGAAGTTCTGAAGGAGATTCTGGACTAGATTCTGGAGAAGGTTCTGGAGATTTTGTAGAAGATTCTGGAGAAGATTCTGAAGGAGATTCTGGAGAAGATTCTGGAGAAGGTTCTGGAGAAGATTCTGGAGAAGATTCTGGAGAAGAACTAGAGCCTGGAGAAGAACTAGATTCTGGAGAAGAACTAGAGCCTGGACGAGATTCTGGACAAGATTCTGGAGAAGATTCTGGACTAGATTCTGGAGAAGATTCTGGAGAAGATTCTGGAGAAGAACCAGAGCCTGAACAAGCACTAGATTCTGGAGAAGAACTAGAGCCTGAACGAGAACTAGAGCCTGGACAAGAACCAGAGCTTGAACGAGAACTAGAGCCTGGACAAGCTTCTGAACGAGAACTAGAGTCTGGACAAGCTTCTGAACGAGAACTAGAGTCTGGAAAAGCTTCTGAACAAGAACTAGAGCCTGGACAAGCTTCTGAACGAGAACTAGAGTCTGGACAAGCTTCTGAACAAGAACTAGAGCCTGGACAAGCTTCTGAACGAGAACTAGAGTCTGGACAAGCTTCTGAACGAGAACTAGAGTCTGGACAAGCTTCTGAACAAGAACTAGAGCCTGGACAAGCTTCTGAACGAGAACTAGAGTCTGGACAAGCTTCTGAACGAGAACTAGAGTCTGGACAAGCTTCTGAACAAGAACTAGAGCCTAGCAAGACCTAGATCCTGGACAAGGCTTCAAGTATTTCTGTTATTTTCTAAAGTTCATTGAACTTCAAATTAAAGCTCAAATTCGAGTTCTTTTTCTTCAACTTCTACTATTATTGTTTCAACTTCTACTTCGACTTCTACTTCGACTTCTACTTCTACTTCTACTTCTACTTCTACTTCGACTTCTACTTCGACCTCTATTCAATCACCACCATTCTTGCTCAATTCCCTTCTCTCTTATCCACTTAAGAGCTCTACTTAATCGTAAGAGCCCTAGGAGTTCTGTAAGAGTCCTCGGAGTTCTGTAAGAGTAGGAACTCTGTAAGAGTCCTCGGAATTCTGCCCTTGCCTTCTTTCCCTCCAAAAATTCCCTCAATTCCTCAAAAATCCAGATGTCAAATGCGGTGGTTTTTCCTATCCATCGTCATCTTTTCAACTCAAGCAGAGAACCCAAACTATTCTCTAAACTCTCTAAACACTCACCAAGATCACCAAGATGATCAATCGACTTTCGCTCGTCCACCATTTCCCTTCAATCTCCTCGTGATTCTGCCAGCAATTCGCACCAAAATGAACACATTTGGGATGACAATTCGAAATTGCAAGCCAGTCTTTGAAATCGCCGTCCAAGACGTTGAAAGAATGGGTTTATTGCCAAAAGGTTGGGCTAATATTACCTATTACGATTCTAGATATTGGGAAGATCCATCATTAGCTGAACGCTGGTCAACAGTTGGAATGATCGAAGCCTATAGTGAGAAGAGATTAGACGCTATCTTTGGATTTATCGACCAATATGGCTTAGCAACTGTCTCTAAATCAGCAGCTGGATTAGGGAACGGTTTCCCAGTCTTCACTACAGCTGGAATGGCTTTTATTCTAGGCAACGATAAGAGTTTTCCATTGCTTACGAGGATGAGTGGTTCGTATATGCATTTGGGTCTAGCCGCTTATCACCTTTTTGCTCAACGAGCCACTGATGAGCCTCGGCGGCCGCAAAGCTTAGAAGAAATGAACTATATGAATCTTTTATTCATGATGCATGATAAGAAAAAAGCGATGAATGTGATTAAAAGCGATGAGGCGGCGTCTCCACAATCGCAGACGGAGGAGTTGCTCAGTTCTGAATGCTTTTTTGGGCTGCAAGGGATCAAAGCGGTGATGGAATGGCAAAATCCACAGTATAAGAAATATTGGGCGAGCATGGGCGGCACACCGTTTATGGCGTTTGATGAGGATTTGGTGACGTCTAGCGAAACGTACACGCAATGGTTGAAGGATCAATCGTTTCGGACAAACGGTTCGTGCTTTTATTGGAGATTTTGTCTTAGGCTTAGGCTTAAGCTCAGGCTTAGGCCATTTGTTATTGGAAAACAGAGATTTGAGCGCTTTTTGATATTGGAAAATGGAGATTTGATCCCTTTTTGCTATTGGCAATCCATTGCATACTTTGAGCTCAAATTTCTCGATGTACAGCTGTCCAATTTCAATCTTTTTGTTATCATTAGATTCGCCACGTCTTTCTCTATCGATTGGTAGAAAAACGACTAAAATTGGACAACCAGACACCAAGAAATTTGATCTTAAAGTTGTCGATACTTTAAGTTGTTGGCAAGGGACGGAGCGCGTATATAAGGCGTCCCATCCCGTCATTGGCAATCTAACCATTGAATCTAACCATTGAATCTAGCCATTGAATCTAGCCATTGAATCTAACCCTTGAATTCTTCGTTTCTCTTTTCAGAAGCTTTTGACAGGCTTTCAAACTCTAAGTAAAGATCTAAGCTGGACCAGAACTCTAAGTACAGGCCAAGGTTTAACTGGATTCTAGGCCAAAGCCTAGCTGGATCTTAGGCCAATGTCTAGCTGGATTCTAGGCCAAGATCTAGCTAGATCTTAGGCCAATGTCTAGCTGGATTCTAGGCCAAAGCCTAGCTGGATCCTAGGCGGCAGGTTTTGCTAGATCTTAGGCCAATGTCTAGCTGGATTCTAGGCCAAAGTCTAGCTGGATTCTAGGCCAAGATCTAGCTAGATCTTAGGCCAATGTCTAGCTGGATTCTAGGCCAAGATCTAGCTAGATCTTAGGCCAATGTCTAGCTGGATTCTAGGCCAAAGCCTAGCTGGATCCTAGGCCAATGTCTAGCTGGATTCTAGGCCAAGATCTAGCTAGATCTTAGGCCAATGTCTAGCTGGATTCTAGGCCAAGATCTAGCTAGATCTTAGGCCAAAGTCTAGCTGGATTCTAGGCCAAGATCTAGCTAGATCTTAGGCCAATGTCTAGCTAGATTCTTGACTAGACCAACTACAGTAAACCTAGACTAGCTCCAGAAACTTTGTGCTCTTGTAAACGTCCCTATCTAATGCATTGAGTTCTTCACTTTCCTCCATTTCCTCCGTTTGAATCACAAGAAATGCGAAGAATTGCATTAGAAAGCTTGTGTTTACAGCCACAAAGTACAGCCAGGGTTTAGTACAACCAGCGTTTAGTACAGCCAGCCAGCGTCCAGTCCGTAAACGCACCAAATCTAGCACAGAACGAAGGGAAAAGGTTGTAGATCTGTGCTAGAAGATGTGTGTTTTGGAGAAGACACAGAGAATCGGAGTTTTACTAGATTACTTCAATCTATCATTAGATTACTTAGTAGTTTTACTAGATTACTTCAATATACTTCAATCTATCATTATTCAAAGCCAATCTTTCCCCAATCAATCAAAAATCAATCAAAAATCACGAAAATCAATCAAAAACCCTCAATTTTCTCTCTAAAACCTTTCCAAAGCCTTCCAAAACCTTCCAAAGCCTTCCAAAGCCTTCCAAAACCTTCCAAACCCTTCCCAAATTAAATAAAAACATTATTTCATCAATCTTTAATCTTTTCAGACCAAAAACAATTCCCGTTTCTCATTTAGAAATCGATTTTTGCTATTTCTTCACTTTTTTCTCTTCTTTAAACTAAAAGAAAGAAACTTTCTGTGTTCTTTTTTCTTTCTTTTCTCTTTTCTCGCTTCTTTTTCTGGTTAAAGAGCTAGAGCTTTGAATTTTTTATCACTTTCCCCAAAAAAACCCTTTATTTTCCCTTATTTTCCCTTATTTTCCCTTATTTTCTCTTCTTTTATTGTTCTTTTTGTTCTTTTTGAATAGAAATTTATGCACATATGAGATTTTTAAAAATGGTAATCAAACAAGGCGTTATTTCTCGCTTTTTTTTCTTTAGAAATAAGCAAAACTGGATAGAAAGCTGATCAAAAGAACAAAAAGAACAAAAACAAACAAACAAACAAACAAACAAACAAAACAAACAACTGGTTAAAAGACCAGCTCCAGAGCTAGATAAGAGCTAGCTCCAGAGCTAGATAAGAGCTAGCTCCAGAACTAGATAAAGCTAGCTCCAGAGCTAGATAAGAGCTAGCTCCAGAGCTAGATAAGAGCTAGCTCCAGAGCTAGATAAGAGCCAGCTCCAGAGCTAGATAAGAGCTAGCTCCAGAACTAGATAAAGCTAGCTCCAGAGCTAGATAAGAGCTAGCTCCAGAGCTAGATAAGAGCCAGCTCCAGAGCTAGATAAGAGCTAGCTCCAGAACTAGATAAAGCTAGCTCCAGAGCTAGATAAGAGCCAGCTCCAGAGCTAGATAAAGCTAGCTCCAGAGCTAGATAAGAGCTAGCTCCAGAGCTAGCTTTAATTCACTTCATTTTACACTTTCATAATCCCTTGTTTTACATAATCCCTTGTTTAAGCTTAAATTTAAGCTGTAAATGTAGGAAAGTCAATTTTTTTGATGTGGAAAAGAATTGGGTTGAAATTTCAATGGGAAACAACTCTGGCAACGACTGGCTTGCAACTCTTCGTCTTTCTCTAGAGCTTCATCTTTCTCTAGAGCTTCATCTTTCTCTAGAGCTTCGTCTTTCTCTAGAGCTTCGTCTTTCTCTAGAACTTCGTCTTTCTCTAGAGCTTTGTCTTCCTCTAGAGCTTCGTCTTTCTCTAGAGCTTCGTCTTCCTCTAGAGCTTCGTCTTTCTCTAGAGCTTTGTCTTTCTCTAGAGCTTTGTCTTTCTCTAGAGCTTCGTCTTTCTCTAGAGCTTCATCTTTCTCTAGAGCTTCATCTTTCTCTAGAGCTTCATCTTTCTCTAGAGCTTCGTCTTTCTCTAGAGCTTCGTCTTTCTCTAGAGCTTCATCTTTCTTTGGTTCTTCGTCTTTCTTTGCTTCTTTGTGCCGATTTGTAAAGAAGATCAAATGGCTGAGAATGAAAAGAAATTCGAGCTTTTTAAAGTAAAGGAATCTTTGATTGATTGATTTCTTTTGCTTAAACTAACCATATCTTTGCTTTTGTACTGTTCTTACCGTAAATACTGTAATAGTACCCCACCGCCATAATGACGGCCGAAGCATCGCGTAGTCTAGCTTTGAACGCGTTTTTCTCGACACTGGTTTATGCTAAAATGCTCGCTTAGGTATCAAAAAATAGCCCTGAATTTCAGCTTTCATTTAATACTTAAACGAACACTGTAGCATAAACGAGTGGCGAGAAAAATGCATTTAAAGTTAGACTACGCGATGCTCCGACCGGCATTATCGGGGGAAGGGGCTACGATATGCTTTTCTTAGTTTAGCTTAACCTTTATCTACTCTAATTCAATTTAGAACTATAATTTAAACATACCGTATGACTGTAATAGTACCCCAGCCCCATAATGACGATGCGGAGCCTTGTGTAGTCTAGCTTTGAACGAGTTTTTCTCGACACTGGTTTATGCTAAAATGTTCGTTTTGGTACCAAAAAATAGCCCTCAATTTCAGCTATTTTTTGATACCAAAGACGTATTTTTTGGAAGTACGGGCGCTTTGAAAAACAATGAAATACTAAAAAACTTTTGCGACTACGCGACTTGCGAACTTTCGCGACTGCGACTACGCGACTGTACGAGGAGGGTGGGGTACTATTACAGTATTTACGGTAAGCAAAAACAAACAAGCAATCTTTGAGCAATCTCATCTTGGAGAACGCTTTCTCAAGGGTTTTCTTGAAATGCAAAAACAAAGGCGGATATAATTTCAGTTCCCATCGATAGAAAGGATTTGGCATTCTTTTGAAGAAAAAGAAAGGGTTTCAAGGTATTCTTCTTCCTTTTCTTCTTCCCTTTCTTCCTCTCTTTCTCCTTTCTTTACTTCTCCCTCTTCTTCCTCCATTTCTTCTCCCTTTACTTCTTTCTTCTTGTCTCTCTTCTTCTCCCTCTTCTCCCTCTTCTTCCTCTTCTTCCTCTTCTTCCTCTTCTTCTCCTCCTTCTCCCTCTTCTCCCTCTTCTTCCTCTTCTTCCTCTTCTCCCTCTTCTCCTTCCTCCTCTTCCTTTACTCCTTTCATTTGCAGCATTGCATTTGCACTTTGCCGTCTTTTTCCCGAAAAATTTCCCCAAATTCTCAAAAATTCAAATCCCAGCCTGGGAAAATGAAGAGTCAGCAATGAACTTAAACAAGTAACTTCCTAACTTAAAAATCTTGAAATTCAGGTTCTTTAACACTCTAGAGCTTTAAAAATCAACTAAAGAAGAAGAATTGCGCCAAAAGTTTGCCAAAAGGGCGCTAAAAAGGCGCCAAAAAGGTTGCCAGAAAGGCACCAAAAGTTTTGCCAAAAGATCCAGCGCTTAATTCTGTAAACGCATCTTGTCTAGTGCACTGAGTTCTGCACTAAAACGGCACAAAGCATCAGGATCAAAGCGAAGAATCGAGCCTGCGCGAGGAAATGTTCATTCGCCAAGCACAATGTACAGCAAAGTACAATGCACAGCAAAGCACAATGTACAGTAAAGTACCTTTAAACTTAGCCAGCAAGCTTCCTCAAGATCAAAGCAGACTATCCAATTTCCCTTTTTTGAAAAACAATCAATAACCTTTCTCAAAGTAATGAAAAATTATCGAAAAATCTCAATTTTCCAGCTCAATTTTGCCTCTCAATTTTGCAGGCATCGTTTTTGCAAGAGTTTCTCTGCAATAAACCCGTTTCTCTAGAGATTTTCGCAATCACTTTTCTCTTTTTCTCTCCGAGTTTTTCTTCCATAAAAACCTTCTTTCTTATCAATCATTACCATTAAAAAGGAGAGAAAGGAGAAGATAAAAATCTCGCTTGTCTCCTGCAAACATTTGACTGTAAGTTGATGGGGAAAATCATTGGAAATCATTAGAAAGCATTGGAAATCATTCCAAATCATTCCAAATCATTGGAAATCATTGGAAATCATTAGAAATCATTGGAAATCATTAGAAATCATTGGAAATCATTCTAAAATCATTGGAAATCATTGGAAATCATTGGAAATCATTGGAAATCATTCTAAAATCATTGGAAATCATTGGAAATCATTGGAAATCATTCTAAAATCATTGGAAATCATTGGAAATCATTGGAAATCATTGGAAATCATTCTAAAATCATTGGAAATCATTGGAAATCATTGGAAATCATTCTAAAATCATTGGAAATCATTGGAAATCATTGGAAATCATTGGAAATCATTCTAAAATCATTGGAAATCATTGGAAATCATTGGAAATCATTCTAAAATCATTGGAAATCATTGGAAATCATTGGAAATCATTCTAAAATCATTGGAAATCATTGGAAATCATTGGAAATCATTCTAAAATCATTGGAAATCATTGGAAATCATTGGAAATCATTGGAAATCATTCTAAAATCATTGGAAATCATTGGAAATCATTGGAAATCATTCTAAAATCATTGGAAATCATTGGAAATCATTGGAAATCATTCTAAAATCATTGGAAATCATTGGAAATCATTGGAAATCATTGGAAATCATTCTAAAATCATTGGAAATCATTGGAAATCATTGGAAATCATTCTAAAATCATTGGAAATCATTGGAAATCATTGGAAATCATTGGAAATCATTCTAAAATCATTGGAAATCATTGGAAATCATTGGAAATCATTCTAAAATCATTGGAAATCATTGGAAATCATTGGAAATCATTGGAAATCATTCTAAAATCATTCCAAATCATTCCAAATCATTCCAAAATCATTCCAAATCATTGGAAATCATTAGAAAGCATTAGAAATCATTAGAAATCATTCTAAAATCATTAAAAATCATTCCAAATCATTCCAAATCATTCTAAAATCATTCCAAATCATTCCAAATCATCCCAAATCATTCCAAAATCATTCCAAATCATTCCAAATCATTCCAAATCATTCCAAATCATTCCAAATCATTCAAAATCATCCCAAATCATTCCAAATCATTCCAAATCATTCCAAATCATTCCAAATCATTCCAAATCATTCCAAATCATTCCAAATCATTCCAAATCATTCCAAATCATTCCAAATCATTCCAAATCATTCCAAATCATTCAAAATCATCCCAAATCATTCCAAATCATTCCAAATCATTCCAAATCATTCCAAATCATTCCAAATCATTCCAAATCATTCCAAATCATTCCAAATCATTCCAAATCATTCCAAATCATTCCAAAATCATTCCAAATCATTCCAAAATCATTCCAAATCATTCCAAAATCATTCCAAATCATTCCAAAATCATTCCAAATCATTCCAAATCATTGGAAATCATTGGAAATCATTAGAAATCATTGGAAATCATTCTAAAATCATTGGAAATCATTCTAAAATCATTGGAAATCATTCTAAAATCATTGGAAATCATTCTAAAATCATTAAAAATCATTCCAAATCATTCCAAATCATTCCAAATCATTCCAAAATCATTCCAAATAATTCCAAATCATTCCAAATCATTGGAAATCATTGGAAATCATTGGAAATCATTAGAAATCATTGGAAATCATTCTAAAATCATTGGAAATCATTCTAAAATCATTGGAAATCATTCTAAAATCATTAAAAATCATTCCAAATCATTCCAAAT